CCCCCCCCACTCTCGCTCTCTCTTTCTCTCCGTTATTTCAGATCTGCAAATTTTCGTCGCAAATTTACACCTAAGCGTACAACTGTCGCACATTTTATCCGCGATATCTGCGCTGCACGCGCAGTTACCGCGTCCTCTCCTTATTTCTTTGGCCACAACATTACGGCCCGTCACAAACGACAAATTTTGCTCTACAACTGTAGGGATTTTAATTTTCCAGAAAAGAATTTGAGTGAAATTCTTCACAAAAAAAATTATTGCTGAATTTCTTAATTTTTTCCGCGAAAGTTAATTTGTTTTCAATTTTTTCTGCAAATTTTTACGTCTTTCCGTTTTCACTTTATCTGGAAAAATTTCGGACTCTAAAATCTCTACACCTGACGAACTACTTGTACGACCTGACGCTGACGGACTGACTGACGGCAGAGCGCCACCGCCTTACACAGCAGGCTCGGTGTGCCCATAACTATAACCACCCCCTTTCGTTGCAGGAAGGGTGGTTTACTGCTGACTAGCGCTGCAGGCATTGTGGCCTCCCTCATGCTGGGCTTCGCTCGCATGGCGGGGTCCCACGAAATGCTGCTCGCGGGCCGGTTCCTCATCGGCGCCTGCTCCGGTGAGTATTTTCATAAACACGCCAAATGTCAGTCACAGGTGGTCTCATTGTTATCGCACTACTGCTTCACCCGCCATCACCGCCACCACCACCGCCGGGCTGCTGTGGGACCCAAGGACGGGAACACCCCCAGCCGGCGCCGCGCCGTTCACGCCCAGCAGGTCGCCGGCCGCCGCCGCCACCAGAGGGCGCGCGCCGGCGGCGTCGCCATCCCCCGTAGCGGGGGGTAGCGACGAGCGTCGCGACGCCTCGCGGAAGTCCCTGACGCGTCGGAGTCTCGCCCCGCAGGTCTCTTCACTTCGCTGTCGCCCATGTACATCTCGGAGGTGGCGCCCATCAACCTGCGAGGCCTGCTCGGCGTCTGCAACCAGCTTAGCGTCACCGTCGCCGTGCTCGTCGCCCAGCTCCTCGGCTCCGACTTCGGCCTCCAGCAGTGGGACCTGCTGCTCGGGCTGTCCGCCGTGCCCTGCGTCCTCCAGCTCGTGCTGCTGCCCTTCTGCCCCGAGTCGCCGCGCTACCTGCTCCTGACCGCCGATAGGAAGGAGGACGCCGTCACAGGTGAGGCCACGACCGGCATGTCACGGACCGCACACACTACCCGGGGGTACAAATATCATGGAGTCACACACGGCCCTGATCCTTTTAGGACACCGTAATATTCGTACCCCGGGGTACAAATATTATGGGGTCGGGGTCACACATGGACTAAAAGAGTGGCCCGGTGGTCCGGATCCGGTGGTCCGGATCCGGTGGTCCCGTTATATGTTTGACCCCGGGGTACAAATATCATGACGTCACACCGGGATACAAACATTAATGGGTTACAGATACGGAATGGAATGGTGGTCCTGAGACCTTTTTTGAGACCCCGTAGCAATTGTACCCCGGGGCACAAAATGAGGTCGCACGGTGAAGTAACTGAAAATGATGCTCCTCCGGTAGTTTTGCAATCCCATAACGTTTGTACCCCCCCCCCCCTCTCCCTCTAGTGTACTTGTAGTGTAGCGTGTGCTGGCGCGGGGTATCGCTGCCGCTCCCGCGTTGCTTGTCGCTCGCCGCGAGTCGCTCGCTAACGGTGACGCCCGCCCTCTCTCTCTCTTTCGCAGCCCTCTCCTGGCTGCGGGCCGCGCCCCCCGCCCACGTCCGCCACGAGGTCCAAGCAATGGAGGAGGAGGAACAAGGAGCCGAGCCGCCAATGGGGATCCTGCAGCTGCTCGCCAACTCGTCGCTCAGACGGCCCCTGGCCATCGCAGCTGTGCTGCAGCTGTCCCAGCAGCTGTCTGGCATCAACGGGGTGAGTGCGGTGGAGGGGGGAAAGTCTTACTCTGTCCGACAAAAGAGGAGGACAATGATGCAAAACTTCGGGGAGGTTCGCGATTTCGTACCAACCATTTATATTTGAACGTCCGCCGGGTAATCAAAATTGACGATCTATCGCGTTGACATCGAAACCTTAGCGGATACCAGAAATCTGTTCCTGTCCAAAGACCATAAAGCATTACGGTAAAGCTGAAGTGCAGAAGAATGCGGGGAAGAAGAAAACGGAAATCTCTATGCTTTATCATGGTGACTTCCGTTTTATTGTTCCCCGCATTCCTCTGGATTTCAGCTTTACCGGAATTGGAGGATCGACTTCGACACTAAAGTCGACTAGTTTCAGAAATCTTCGTTTCGACATAACCATTCGCACATGCGGCGTGTATCGGGCGCCTATTACAAAAATGAACAGGCGGTCGCGATGTGCCATGGGCCATGGATTCGCATAGTCCCCACACAGCAATCGCCATTTAGTTGTGTTACCTAGCACTGTGTCGTTTCGACCGTGTCCACCTGCTTCCCCGTTAATAATTTCTCACCACCAGTCAGATGTGTCGCGCGCTGAAGAGAGGTCGACCGCATGGCTAGCTCCTGAAATAGACCGTTTCAGTTTCAAGTCCAAGGTCCGATCCAAATGCTTAAAAAATGCAAGTTAAGACCGGCTCAACCACGCGAAACAGTAGTAGCAGTAGCGCCAAAGGCGACCAGGAAACGTTTCAAGTATAGACACTCTGCATCGTCGAAAAACAAACATGTCACACCTTCTTCAGTTATTGAGCCCGGTCACGGGCATTTAGCTTGTGCCGGGATAGGCTCTCCTTCGGTCAACGCGCAACCCAACCTAAAGTGACCGCAACCTAACCTAATGTAACCAAGCCTAACGTAACCTAACCCCCCCGTCTCTGTCCAGGTCCTGTACTACTCCACGGACATCTTCAAGCGTGCCGGTCTGGACGAGAGCGCGGCTAAGAACACGACGGTGGGCGTGGGCGGCGTGATGGTGCTCATGACGCTGCTGTCTGCGCCCTTCGCCGACCGGGCGGGCCGGCGCGCGCTCATGCTCGTCGGGCTGGTGGGCATGTTCGTCACGTCGCTGGCCGTGACGGGCACGCTCGCGCTGTCCGACTACTCGGCCATGCGCGCGCTCGCCATCGTCTCGGTGCTCGCCTTCGTCGTGCTGTTCTCGGTGGGGCCGGGCTCCATCCCGTGGCTCATCACGGCCGAGCTCTTCTCGCAAGGGCCCAGGCCCGCCGCCGTCTCCGTGGCCACCATCGTCAACTGGACGGCCAACCTCGCCGTCGGCCTCGCCTTCCCGCCACTGCAGGTGAGTTCGACGCCATAGCTACACTGACTACTTTTCCACCGGGACATCAATAAGAACACGACATCACTCCCTGGAGAAAATAGACGTCTCATTCTCACAGATATCTGTGATGGGCTCGAAAATGAGTTCTTGTAGACGTCTGTGTGTACCAGGACTCACGCCGCACACTTTCGTAGTCATACTATACCGCATGGACGGGCGTGGGCGGGCGTGCCAATCCCTGCAGTGTCCTTATGGCCCCGATCGAGTTTGCGAATGGGCCACCCATGTGCATGCGGTACAGTATAACTGCAAAAGTGCGCGGTTGCGCGGTGTGAGTCAGCCACCTGGTTCTACATCGACAAAAACGTATGCGGTAAGGGGTCGTCCACATATTACGTCACGCCTTTGGGGGGGAGGGGGGGGTCTACGCTTGCGTGACGGTCCTATACCAAAAGCATTGGAAGGTTAGGTTAGCCGCGTGACGTGGGGGGAGGGG